TGTACTTAACTAAAAACAAAAAAAAAGTGAAAACTAGAAATAAATTGTATGGAATAAACCTCCAATATTGCCGTTGATTTAAGAGATAAATGCGATCGCTTTTGGCCTTCATCTGTCACAAATACAATGAAAGGGGAATTTCTTATTGGTTTTCCAGAAAGCTTGACATGAACTTTGTATTCCCCAGATACAGGGGGTATCCATACTACAGAACATGTACCGTCCTGTAAAAAATTATCAACAATGCACAGAAATAGATGAAAGGGAACATTTTGCATAGAAATTCGATATAGTCACCTTGTTATCATGGCATTTGATTATAGCTTTTGCTGTACCTTCAACAGCGACGGACAAATCTTTAGTGGGTGAACCTTTCACACAAACTGTAAATACCGCTGGTTCATCAACAACTGCCTGCAGCAAGCCAGGACCATATACTGTCGCATATTCTTCATCTGCTTCACTCACATAAAATGAAATTGGACTTCCAGACATGTTAACGCCATCATGTTTTATTGACAGCAGATGACTGCCACACTCTTTCGGGTGATATGTCACCGTCACACTTCCGTCCTTATTGTCCTGCAAACAAAACAGTCGACACAAACTATTTCTAGCACTGGTAAACGTCTCGAGAGCACAAAATTTGTACTGCTGGAATCGATACCAATGGCTAAAACTATGTTTCTTCATGAATTTTGTCGCATAATTTTTTCATTACAAATTAAAAAAACCGCGTTGCAAAATCGCAATAAAGCCTTTCATAAAAATGAACAGTTTCTTGCACTAAGAAAGAAATACTGCCAAAGTTGATTCAAATAATCGGCCTAAATATTCCAATTTAGCTTAAGTACGAAATCTCGTAACTCACGTTAATGTAGGCAATATCATTTGTACCAGATGGTAGTTTGACGGAAGCAGTAAGTTTACTGAACTGATATTCTGAAATAACAGAAAAACGAAAACTATGAGATATCAGATGTTCGTCATCTCCAAATTCCACAGTTCGTCCAGAAATATTGTTCTCGTCACCCTCAAGAGGTGGAACACACTGAAAATCTCCTGAACATTCTCCATAAAAATTATGAGTTTTACATGGAAATCTACTTTCTAACAGTTAATTATCAGTTACGTTTTTATTGTCTTTTCTGTCAAAAATTTGACTTCTTCCTAGCTATAGTTTTTGAATAGCCATCACTTACAGGATCAGTGTTCGTGATAAACAATGCTTAATTTTAAAATGGAAAACCTCAAAATCGAATGTTCCGCCAGGTATATTAACACCACCATACATTAATACAACTCGATGCTGCCCTTCAGTGCGTGGCGTAAGTGTTGCAGTATAAAAGCCATCCTCCTTCTTTTCAATTTTTGTTTCCAAGTCAACCCTATCAGAAAGAACGCTTAATGCTCCTTTTCCTCCATTCTTAGTATTCACCAGAAAAATTTTTGGCTCTCCAGAACGCCAAAACTTGTCAAGTGATTTTGCTGAAAAAACTTACAGTACAACAAAAAACACGTACACCGAAACCCTAGGAACATCAACGCAGTTGAACTCAAAATTCCTTAAATGATATAAAAGTATGTCACCACACACGGTGCCTTGAGAACGTAACACATTCACCCAAAAAAAAATCATGGTAAAAAAAATCATAACTTGACTGTATCTAAATTTAGAAATTTTATTCATATGGTGAAGTTTAACTAGAAATCTCACATTCCACGAAGCATTTATCTGCCAAGCCCATGGGTACGGAAGTTAAATTATACGGATTCGAAAACGGTTTCCCATTGACGTATATTACGATAACATATATTCCTGCCAAGTCCGGTACGAAATCCAATAAGTATATTCCCTTATCGCAGTTTTCGGTGAGTATTAATTTCTGCAACTTACCATCTGGACCCTACAATATTCGGAACTGAAAAATCAAAATCTTTTTCTATGTTTACAAGTCTTTTCTCATGAAACCCTGCATACAAAATCCATAATGGCTAAACGGTTTCAATGAGTGAGCTGATTTCATTGCGGAAATATTGGACAAATACACCAATAGCTTATTTTGCAATTCATTCCAATATTGTAGGACAGGTAACATTGTTCTTTCCAAAAGATTTATAAATATTTGGTCATGCAGTTGAACGGTTATAAAAATATAAACTTTGGTTAAACTGCTGGCAACCACCAAATTCAATCACGATTCACAGAATCAGTCGAAATTAATAACGTCAAAGTAGAATATTGCTAAATCGTCAGTGCGATACTGTTAATCATAAAAATGCCTCACTTTTATTTCCGCAAACAATTCATCAATTTTCCCAGCTTTCGTAACGTCGATCAGGGCTTCAAACTGGTGAGAGACTTGTACTGTTGACGAGAGAAAACCACCGGAACGACTTCTCAATACCATGGATTCTAATCCCTCTTCTGGCTTGACAACAAAAATCATCGGTCTGGAATAAAGAAAGGTTTTGCAAAGAGTTTTGTAAAGAAATTAGGCACAGCATGTCAAACAGTTTTCAACTAGCTTAGAAAGTTAACATCTGTAAAATCTGTAAATTCATTAAAGCAATGCTATATTTATTCAACAGCATCGAAACTGCTATAATTTGTGACAAGTAGTTAAAATATTTAAAAGTAATGCATGAAACATAGAGAATCAGTACTTTCCAAGAAGTTCGTTCCCATACAGAAGTTCCAATGCTATTGTTTCACTAGTCGTAATGCTTGGGATGAAAGTAACTAGATATACTCGAGGCCTGATTTCTTCAACAATCGGCTGTTCGAAGCCAGTAGGAAGACGCGCACTCACTGGTTCTAATGCAGTGAGCGTAGCATCAATGATAAGTGAATTTGGTATTCTAGCTCGGGCTATACCATTACTACTTTCCGTTATTATAATTTTCGATGGATCACGTTCATAATCGGCTATTACCATAAATGGAGAACCTTTAAAAAAAAAGAATGATTTTTAAATCCTGTTTAATTTCCACATGCCAAGTATGATAAGTAATTTCCAGTGGACTACAACACATAAGTAATCAAAAACAAGACACCATAATCTGAATCACAGCAACAAAATCACCTGAAATTTGCTTTTTTCCTTCATAATAAACCGTTATTTCATATTGTCCAGGAGTCTCCGGCGTGTATTCTATTGTGTACAAGCCATTCAAATTATCTATGACATTTGCTTTCACTTCTGAAGGGCCTTTGATTGCTACTTCCATTTTACCCTTTCCAGCATCCTTAAATCCGTACGAATTTTATTGATGATATAATATTTTAAGTTATTCCTTTGTGGTCACTTTTGTCGTTTTCATTTCAATGAATGAAATATAACATTTATATCTCAAAATCAGAGCTTTTTTTTTTTTAAATATTGCATTTATACTAAAATATTATATCATCAACCATGCAATCATCTATTACTGTCTAACAAAAGCAACGTCGTGATTATTTATCGTTGAGACGACTGATGTTATCACCTAACATAAACTCGATTTCAGGTTCAAATTGTAAATAATGAACACAAATCGCATTCTACACCACCTTCATGTCGACCAGAAATTTCGCTGGCATACCAACAACAGCTCGTTCAAGTCCCTCACCAACCGCTCGGCATTTAGTTATGTCTTCGCCATGTTGAACAGTAACTAGGTATTCACGAACCAAATTTTCATCGAAAAAAATGCATATTTTGGTTTTTCCCACTTTTTTTGCTATCCAGAAGCCTGAAAATAGTACCATATTAATAACATTCCTTACGATATAATACAAAAGATGAAGTAAGGATTTTTGCAAAATGTTACCTCTGTAAATGTTTGAATTATGCTCATGTTCCAAAGATATCAAATGTTTTGATCCATCAACTTTTCCAACTTCTTCCATAGTAACTTCGAGGCCGTTCTTCGTGTGCGTCAAGTTTCCAATATCAATAACAATATCGTTTCTCTGCCCAACTACCACGGCTTCTGAAGAGTCAAATACAATGCAATTACTTTAAAAGTTCTTGAAAAACTGTGGAGTTAATCTGGAGTAGTGGTTTCTCAAGACCAGGATCCACTTTGGCATTTTTATTTATAGCAGGGACTACAAGGTTTGAAAATGATAAATTATGTTATTTTCAAAGTAAGCTGTAATCGAAATTTTGAACTTATTCCTTAAGTTTACAGTAACATTATGATATGAAGAAGAAGGGCATAATTTTCAATAGCCCTCATGAATCTATTCTCGCGGACCACCGACTAGGCATCACTACGGAATACAGTGGAGTCGAGGAAATTACTGAAATCACTAAATACCCATCGCACCCTAATGAATGCTAACCATTATTCAAACCATCCACTAAAATCGTCCCTTCAACAGCTACAACTTTCCTTTTTGCCAACTTAGCGGAATCACCGGATACAACGTCACGAACTGTCGCCATAATCTGGAACCAAATTATATTTTAAGCACATCAAGATAACATGACGAATGCTGCAGTTTCTACGTAAATTGATGAATATTAAGTCAATAACCTCATATTCGCCCGGAATTTCTGGTTGATATTGGAATTCATAAATCGTTTCTGAAAGCTGATTTTGGATATAACGAACTAAAGATTCATCCGGCCCTATGATGATGATTTCTGGGACTACCATTGCATCACGAGTCTGAAGTGTAAATACCGTGGTGACTCCAACTACTGGCATCAGCACAACATCATGAAGTCGACCAAGCGACGGAGTATACTTTGCACCAGGAAACTGTGAAAGATAAGTCATAACACTTTTCTCATCAATGGCCGGACTGATCAATTCCTCAGGTTCAATAAGCTGAAAAATTAAAAAAAAAAGAAGCTATACTTGATAAAGTATATAAAAATCAGATATGGCATATACCACGCTATAGAATACTTTCACTTTTCTAAAAAAGACCACTCGATATAAGTTAAAACATACTGCAGTAACACCAAGATACTCGCTAGCAAGCCTCATTGCAGTAAGAGTTGATTGCAAAGCCTGTGATGGTAACCATTTTCGCCAACCAACTTCTAAACCTGGAGCACAAGAATCGACCTGAAAGAAACTTCCCACATTAAATCAAGAAAAAGAAAAAAAAGACTACTTCATTCTAAAATCATACCAAAGCACCAAGGAGAATTCCATCGTTCCAATCGAACGTGAAATTGGTAACGGAAAGTTCGGCTGGTAACTTTGCTCTAAGCCATCTCAGGAGTTTTTCTTTAGCTGATATTTCCCCATTTTCTAATTCATCACTTGGATGATCCCAAACTTGTTTTGAAATGGAATAATGTAAAATAAGCGTCCATACGAGACCCAAAATTAGCTTCAGATTGTGGTCTGCTATTGCTGAACTGTCTAAAAATGAGCAAATCATGAAAAGTGCATATAGGATAGATCCTCTTGCTCATTTCCATTAAAATGATTTAGGCAGCATGTTCATCTGTAAAATAATTTCGTCAAGATTTGGACAAAGACGCACCGATATTAATAAGCTTTATGTGTTCTTCCTTCTCCAAAAATTGCAGCGCAAGTGAGATATTTTCAAGTTTTTGATGGCGAAATATAACTTTTTTATTATGTCGACCAAACGATTTTCCAGAAAGTACTTCAACCAAACGTATTAATTTTAGGCCTTCTTCAAAATCGGTTTCCTGAAGGATAGTTTACGGTAGATATTGTAGACATTGTGAGCAGAGCATAAAGCATATGATGAAATTTTACGAAACAATTCATGCATTCTATAACATACCAAATCAGACACCGTTATATCCACCTGTTCTAACTTCTGCTTAACCCATCGAGTAAAGGTATTCAGTTGAATTCTCTTCCACGTTGCATCTTCTTGTTGTTCGACCATAGTTAACTGCAATGGAGCGCAGGTTAACATGTTTAATCTTTGGTCTCCAACCTAAAACCTCTTTATAAGCACACTCCCCGAATAGTTTCACTTACTTTCATGACTTGTCAAATCTACAAAAAATTTAAGATGAATATTATTACAAGAGTTTGCAAAACACAAAGAGCTCAATCAAATATTAACAAAGGTACATAGAAGAAATTCCGATCTGTACTGGTTGAATTCAATTACTGATAAAATTCTTCTTATCATCATCTACATATAATACTCGCTGCTAAGGAATTAAATTAACAATGAACGGTTAATGGAAGAAAAGGATATAAAAAAAAAGAGACTGAAGTGTGATGGATAAGTTTAGCTGCACTGAGTGCTCGGGTGATCTCATGCAGGTAATCTGGTGATCTCTGCCATCCTCATGAATACTACCTTTGATGTGCGCGCACCTAATGATTCCCGCCATCCTATTAAGGTTGATATAAGATTTAGTAGTACCAGCAGAGCAACTACACTTTTCAGTATTCCCCGACATTATCTAACAATCTGGTACATATCGATACCGACGTACGAATGTCTATAATATATGCTAATCATTGGAAATATGCTAATCATGGAGTTATGCTTACTGGACCGGATGTGTCTTGCTCTATTTGAATGGACTTCACAGTTTGCACGAACATCCCAGCCCATCCCATTCATTACAACTTTTGCAAGTTTTTTTAATTTACTGCACTTTCAAACTTTATGCAAATTTTTGACACTGTGAGCAGCGAAGTAGTCAACGTAAATTGGAAATGGAATGAAATCTATTGAATGAATGCACAAATGAGTAATGCTTGTCCAATCCTGTCCTCCTTCTTCCTACTGGAATTGCTGCTCCCCATTGACTTCCTCCTTTCTTAAATCATATTGTGTTTTTTTTCTTAAATCTCATTCCTCTCCATTCTCGATTTCTCGATAAATTCATAGCTGTTTGTAGATGCTTCTTCTCCATACCCCTTCCCGAAAAGTTGGGTATTCACTTTTGTTTTTAATTAGATCTCATATGATATAAATGCATTCTATTTGGATGTAAGCAGCGATTGAATTTATGCATCAAACGTTCATGACAGCTTCTATTAGATTTTTAGATGGTCCAAGTTCTAAGAAACTTTTGATTGCTTTGGGATGTCGCGTAAAATCGACATTGTGCTAGCTTTCAATTGAAGAATCTCAGAAAATATATTCTCCTTCTCTTCCTAAATCCTTTAAACATATTTATTCGATTCCATTATGGATAGCAAACTACGAGTATGAAAACAAATTAGTCAAAAATTTATTCATAAAGTTGGGAACTTGCAAGAAATGAGTTGGCACCGTCAGTTGTTACGTCATGTAACGAAATTTTTTGGTATAACATTTCTATCATTTTATGCTATTTCATGTGACACTTTTATAGATTCTTGAGTCGTTGACACTATTAATTTAATTTTGAGCTGCTGGGAAGAATCCGTGATGTTTTCGATTGATATTATTTTACATTACTATAACTTGTGAAGCATTGAGCCTAATTCTCCAATATTGCTTTTGAGAGTTTGATATCAGAAATGATAGGAATATTTTAATAAAGAATAAAATATTTTAATTTCTGACATCATCAATCCTTTTATTTAAAGATAATTCTGTTCATTCTATTCATTCTATCCCTGTCACATGATTCAAAAACGTATGGAAGGAAACACCGTTATGAATAATATGACACTCCAACAATGGAACAGTATTGGTGAAAAATCAGTAATTCGAATTTTGAATTTGATATCAGAAATGATTGGAACATTTGTTTTTTGCAGTGATAGTTGCGGTAGACAGACAGACAGATTTGTTTTAAGCAGTCAAGCAGTCAGTTGTTGGCTGGGATTGGGGACTTCGGTGTTTTTGCTAAATGCTTTTTACTAGGAAGGAGCTGAAATTTTGAATACAAGATCATCATTTTCATTTGACCAATAAGTGAATGGTCTATCTGCAATATCACTGGTTGAAATGATTTTTATCTTATTTCTGCAACATTTTCTGGAGCATTTCAATTTTGAATCTTATTATACAAATTTTACATAACAGGAGGTAGTGTCCCTTTTTTCTTGTTCTGCGTATTTCTTCTGCGCATCATCTTCCAAATGTTAAGAAATTAGTGATGAAAATAAAGTGAAGCGAAGTTAAGAAGTTCAGTTGATCTATAATATGTCGAAGTTTTCATCCATCGAATACTTATAAAAAAAAAAGAAAAAAGAAAAAAGAAGTGGATTCGGATATCCTCCTTCCAATGCTGTCGCCGAAACAAAATGCAAATGGACAAAGGGTACCATGCAATGAAGTACTGGCAATATGTGCAGAAGTCATAATAAGGATACTTATCTCCATGACTCTTACATATGAATTAGCAGTATCCTTCTCGTTAATTACAAATTGGAAACTCTGACGATACAATTCCTCAGATTATTTGTTGATTGTTTCCAGCAATATATGATGTTACTTGAAGTTTCTCGTCGAAGTAAAGTCTTTTTTTCAATCCCATCCACTGCGCTGTAATTACTGCATAAAGAATTTCTGAGCCAACCTCTCAGAGTCAGCACCTGCCCATTTGAATAATCCTCTAATATCACAAGACCTTCGAACTTTCAAAAACTTGATTTCATGAAACCTCCTGTTTTTTCAGCACAGTGGATGACTACTGAAACTCAATTAAGAAATGGAAGCTGAACTGATCAGAAGGAACCAAATATAGAAAATAGAATGAATATGTAGGTTTTTCATTTCATTTTATGCTTGACAACTTTTTTTTTTCAAAAGCGAAAACAAAAACAAATCTTTATTGACATAGGAAAATTCAAACAAGATACAATGTTAGCCTCTCTGTTCCAGAACATTTCCAGATTAGCTTCGATAATATGCCCGAGTAAATATATATATAACATTAATCATTAATTTTTGACTGCCGCAAATAATGAAGACATGAAAAATGATGAAGAATGCGACGAGCAAAGCATCTTTAAGAGATCACTTGTAAAAAAGTAGCTGCAAGAAATTAACAAAGAGTAGCAAATAGTGAACGAAAACAAATGATATAATAGCGAACTCTTAATATAAAAAATAGCATTCTGACAAATCGGTGTTGTTTTTTCCACATAAAAATCGGAATTTAACTGCCGAGGGACAATTATAATCGTTCGAACTCTGCTTATCATCCCAATGAATCCATAAGCGGTGGGGGTAAAAGTAAATGCAAAAAAACAAACAGTAGAAATAATGCACCAGTGTTAACTGTCAAACTTAAAAATTATTGGAGGAATTACAATTTTCTCCCTATCATGAACGCTTGAGTTTCAAAAATTCGGCGTGTTATACAGCAAACATTGCCATTGAAAAGAAAAAAAAGAAAACGCTAAAACAGAGATAATGGATTAATATAATTGCGAGTTCGTAAATTAAAAATCAGATCGAAGCTGCGGACAAAAGGGTACGAAATGTAAAGGTTCAGTTACAATGGTAAATGAATCTAGATTTGCCGAATACTCGCCTCTTCAAATACTCTCGAAGATATAAAATGATGTGAGCTCGACTCTCGAATGATTTTGCTGGAAAAATCCAATTCATGATATTCACATTATAAAAACCCAATATCTGCACAACTTAACTTCACTCTAATAACATTAATTTCAATCACTATTCTGTGGCAATTGTACTCGACTTCTTGTTGCTCTCTTGTCGAAACAATAGACTTGCAACATTATTAATAAATCGATTGTGATCTGAAAATCGTAAAATTGTAGGATTTTCGAGATTAACAGTAAAAATCAAATATAAAGCATATTGAAATGAAGTCATCCTAAAACATGTCCATTATGTAGGTTTCGTCCAAGATTGAGCATGAGATAAGCCCTAGCTCTCATTTTACACTTCCATATATCAAGGCATCTAAAGTAATCGGTGTGGCGCTAAATAGAAAAGCAAGCATGTCAGTCATACCGATTTCACGTCTGTCCCTAAGGCTTTAACAGAGTTCTAATAAACTTTATAATTCAAGTCTTCAAATCAACAATAAACAAATGGAATTTAAAACTAACCTGTATTATTCCACACAACCAAAACTGGGCCGGACTACTTCCATAGATAAAATAAGCCGTTTTACCACAGTCTCCAATTAACCACACAAGTACCATGTTAATACTAAATATTTTAAATGTGTTGAAGAAATTTTGACAAAAATAATTTCCTTCTCACATAGCGATTTGAAACAAGACGGTTTTTGTCTATTCGCAAACTTCCCACACAATAGAGCAGCTCCAAAATTTCGTGAACTTGTTCCTACTAGACAGATTATAAATACCGAATTAATTTTTAACTGAACCTCATTCCCGACGTAGAGCGCCTTGAGCAATTTTGTTTTAACTGGGGGAAACCCAGACAAGCTTCCGAAAGTAAAGCAATTAGACCAAGAACTTCCACATATACAATATGCTGAAAAATGCACAGACAGTTTCAAATTTTGACAAGATTGTAGAAATAAGACCGAGATAATACTGCAGTCCCATTTTCTGAAAAATTTTCATCTTCCGGTTCTTCATTTGTTGGTAACAAATATGAAAATACCCTGCTCAATAAATAAGTAAGTATAGACGAAAATATAATGAAAGCGATTATTAGGGTGAAATAACTTGAGAGATCATTCCATTGCCAAAAATGACTTATCAGTTGACCAGCTGAAAAAAACTTGCTTCTTAAGCTAAAATAAAATCTTCGCCATCCAAACCAAGAAAAAAATAAACAAATCAAAAAAAATTAAAGAAGTGCTGCCCAACCTTTCAAAAAAAAATATTGAAAAAACTATTTGGACAAAAAACATGATGGAAAAATAAACTGAGGAGAATGTTCTTCAAACTATGGGTCAAATAATTCTATAAAACCTAAATTATTCTATTACGTGTGTATATGCATGTATATTACAAAACACTGAAAAGTTTTCCGTACATAAATCGATCACTACGGACTGAAAAAGTATAATTATTTTATCGAATTAATAAAACTGCAAAAATACTCCAAGCAGAGGCCCGTTGCGTTTTGTATACATGCTTTCGATTTGTTCGCACAGATATTTCCAACATCAGTATCATTGATATCAACATTACTATGCTTTGAGCAACAAGAGCCAATTCAAATCGCTTACCAAACCTAGAAAAGAGACAAGGGCTAGGAGGGTAATTTGGGTAATCTAACATCATGCATTCAATGAACAATCAAGGAAAAACATATGCGGTGAAAGTGAATGACTGCTGATGAATATTCCTTGTTACCTATACATAATAAAACCATGAATCGCTTCCATTTCTATTTGTGATCGCCAAAAATGGGAATTATTCCTTCCGTGACCAGTTGAAATTGCTAGATTCATGATAAAGAAACAATTAACTTATTAAGAAACAATTAAGTTTCAGAAACAATTAACTAATTAAAAACATGAAAAATAAAATTGAAAAATCATATCTTTACTAACCAAAACATAATTCGAAGTATATTCGCTATGAGCAACGTTAAGCAGACGAACAATGAAAACCCACTGGCATCTTCCCGTTCATAAATTTCTTTGTACTGGAATACGTATGCCAGTGAACCGCCAAATATTATGAAACCCTTAGTGAGAATGGTCAGGGATATGAAGAACAGTTTCTCCAGTGGGACAAGATCCATTCCCGATCTGCATAATTTAAAAGATTAGTAGTTTAAATGATACTGCGGAAAAGGCTTAACATGAAAGACTAACAAATAAATTTAAAAAAAAAAAAGGAAAGGCATGTGAAACAAGTTTTGCAAAGTGCATTATATAGATCAGGAAATAGATAAATAAGTAAACAGGTAAATATTAAAGGTGGACTTCAGTTTCATTCATAAAGAAGGAGTAATCGAAGCAATCCACAGTCGATTAGATCTATGGCTCAAATAAGATGGAATAACTGAACTTGAAAATAGCTTGACAAAGTGTAAAAGGACAAATGAACAATGAAAAATCTGCGTTAATTCGAATTCTGGTATTAGTTTGGTGCTGTAGATGAACAAATATCTCACCATGAGATCACTATCAACATTCGATAAGTACTTTCACTACCGTTATATAACTTCATTCTATCAAAATGAAAAAAAGAAAAAAACAAAAACAAACTTTTCAATGACGAACATTTCCTGTTCCCCAGTGAACAAAATTATCACAACCGAATAATAATGTAGGAAGTTCAGGCTAAATTGCTGCTTGTATCGATGACAAAATCACTGTCTTTGAAGTTCCAAACTCTACAGTATAAAGGATATGGACTAACACATGCCATGAACTTAAATAATCAATGGACAAAACAGCCATTGGTACCTGCATCAAAAGTTCTGTAATTTGAAATTTTTGTCACTTCTATTCACATTTTGTTCCTGAAATTCCATTCTTTTTTAAATATCAGTAAGTAATGTAAAATAAAAAACGTGGAAAAACGATCATTCTGCTATCAAAATGTGTCTTCACTAGGTCTCCCGGTTAATTATATCCTCAGAAGATGACTAAGACAGGGCACCATCTTTATCCCCATTATTACGTCCTTTTTCTTTCTCTCTTTTAAAGTGCTAGGAAATAATACACTTGAAAGTAGTTGTACAATTTAGTAAAGTAGAGAATAATAATGATGCACTTTGGAAAATCAGTAATCAGAAAATGAGTAGAAGGCTGGAAAAGTGGAATATACACCTTTTTGGTAATTGGTAACTCTAAGCATCATACTTCTATACAATACATCGTTGGGAAAAAGCATTGAACTAGGATAACTGGAAGTAGAGAAATTAGCTAAAATTAATAGAACGAAGCTAATGTTTTTGATCTAGATCTACTTTGAGATTCGATAATCACATGAAGATTTCGGACATTACAGCGATGTTTTTATTCAATTCATACCCGCATTGCTTATATAACTTCTAGTCATCGGAAAGTTCTCATTTACTTTCCGAAAGAAATTACCACATGCAATCAAAGCTCTCAATCATTTCCCATTAGAGGGTGAAAATCAGCAGGAGTTTAGCAGCAGATTTATGATTATAGGAATGACTCTATAAATCCCACAATCATCACACCAATTAATGTACGACGTTCAAAATAAATATGCAGTATATACACCGTGAGGTATTCATCACTTCTGGTGCCGGTAATTATCCAAAATAGAGAAGGGATCCCATCCCCTCCAGCTTTACAAAAAGTAGATATTATGTTACTAATTATACTTTTTGTCATGATAATGTTTATAAAGAAAGCAGAATAAACTGTCATTCTTCTGAAGAGAGACAACCTTTTTCAATTATTAGATGCTCTAAGATCAATATAACATCTGATCACGCACTCACTGCATCTTTTGATGATGATGCGAATTTGCAGATAGAAGATATTTAGTCCAAAAAGCTAACGAGAACATCAACACCGCCTAGGAAATAAGAATTAAATAAAAACACATCATGATAATAATTAAGATCGATAAGCGAAGTGAGGAATGATGGAACAAGTAAAACCACGTAGTAGCAGTAAAAAATTGAGAACAACTCCTCCACAGCGTTCATCACTTAATGCCACTCCGTCAAATATTCTATTTTTATCCAACTTGTTTCCTTTGAGAACGCTTTTGGAATTTTAAATGTTAAACTTATATGAAGAATTAAAAGCTTACATCTAGAAATTCCACTTTTTCTGTTTGTTTTTCACTTTACAGAACTGCTAAAATCGTCAGATAAGTGCAGCCCAAAATGACTCGACCGTATATCAGATTGTAAAAATGACTTTGTATATCGGCTTCCATTAGAAAAAAAAATGAGGCTTAAATTCTTGGAAAAAAAGAAAAATCCAAACATGAGAAAAATGACTTCTAAAAGCTCTGAAAATGTGAGTGGTAAAAACTCACAGAGCGGCTAGCAACCAAATCGATATCAAAAAGGCAAAGTGCAATGAAATTATACAAGTGAGGCAACAAAGTGCCATTGAAAAATGCATTTTTGGTTAATAACATTGTGACGATATAAGTTTTATTTTATTTTTTCTGAAACATCAAAACATGCGCACGAACAGCTATATTAATAAATCAAGGTCAATGAGTCACCGCCAAAAAATTTATGTATGATGTAAATAGTGTGTACCACAAAAAAATACAGCTTTTGAGAATGACATTTAATATTTCCAGATAACAAGAAACTATAACATTCTTGTCTGGTTTTCTTTAACTTTCATAAGTTAATCTGGATGAATTCCATAAACTGTTATAAAATCGACTTGCACCACATGAAGAAGCTTGTATCGAAAGCGACTTTTTGGCTCTTACCGAATAAAACCACATACAAATTTAGACTAAATAAGTGTAATGCGAAATTGTGGGAAAACAATCTTGGTACACTTTGCAACTGGTCTCAGTGAATCGCTAAAGTCTTATTCCTTACTAATACAGCGCAACGAATATCAGGAAGCGAAAATCAATATCACATGACGAAAATAAGAATTTTAAAGACGAAAATAATTAAGACGAAAATAAGAAATTTATATTCAAAGTAAAACAAAAAAAGACCATTATCAACGAAACAGAATGGTTGCAATCAAAACCACTCGAAAATTTGAATTTTAAAACGAGACGAACCAAAATGTAAATAAAAGGCAAGACAAAAGAATAAATTCCGGCATTATAACTGTATAACAAAAAGGAAATATTATATCCACCTGAACTCCGAGGCAATAAATGATAGATTCATGGGACCAAATCTGTATTAATTCGAAATTTAGCAGCCAAATTCCTCGCCAAAGAATCAAAAAAGCAACAATAAGTTAAAACAAAACTCAAAATCCATAAATTCAAATCAGTGAAATATAGGCAATCATGGCGACACATGCACTCGATGTGGTGGCCTCACAATCAATTTCCCGCTCTGAAAGAACAACTGATTTCTATAAATTTTTAAAAGATTGGAGTTGGCAAACATGTGCATGTAAAGATCACAAAGGAGAATTTATCATGCAAGAATATCCTTACTTTACTCTTTAAAAAAAAAGGGAGAAATGGCTTTTCAATACACCCGACTACATTATTACTGTGAAAAACTTTAGCAGTACCAAGGAGCCGGAATCGGCTGTTATCTGCTTAAAATAAAATATTCACATACTTGAATAAATTTGTTGCGCTTTTTTAGCACCAAAAAAAAAAAAAAACGCGTACTTCGTATGAAATAGCCCATTTCAAAAACAGAAAAAACCCATATTATTTAAGATGAATAAGAAAAATTAAATCAGTCTAAGCATAAACATACGTCATCACAGCTAAGACTGAAGTCTGCCAGAACCGAACGGCACCGTGAAGCAATGCTGAAATGAATATAACAATAACAAATATACAGTATTAAAACTTATTTCTATAATTAACAACAAAAGTACTAACAGTAAACACATGATTCTGATCAAAATATCAGCCATAAATTCGAGTATAACTTATACTTCACACGATTCAGATATCGTCATTCACAGATATGTCATGTTTGATGTAGAATGGATTTTAAAAAAGTATATTTTTCGAAACGGAATAAAAATTAGAGAAACAAGAAAAAACAGAATTGAAATATACAGCTGAATTATGGTTAATGTTTTATCGTATCGAACAAAAAATTACTCGTTCATTTCTACAGGAAGTCTATATGTAAAGCAGAATTTGAGCAATAACAAAATTTCTTGACAATAAATATGCTTAGTATATTCAATCATTCTACACTCGATAAACTGTTGAAGGCGGATCCTGCAGAATGGCACATAAAAACGTTTTAATAGAAGACAAAATTGAAATTCCACGATGTAAGAATTTGGGAAAACTTGCGAAAGATTTTTTTAGCCGTATTGATGAATTTTAAAAATAAACTGGGAAACCTATTAAACAAAATTAAAATATTGAAGAATGAAGTGCAATGACAGACACAGAATGAACATGTTTGAAACCAAATATCAGTATACTTGTTCAATTTTTCAGAGCAGAATGTTTCGTGAATGAAAAGTCATTTGGGATGAACATTTACAACTATTTGGGAAAAAACTGAACAATTACACGTTATTTGAACGTGACTCACATAACCTGTACCATATGATTGTCCCATTACTCTAGTTTGATTCCAACATGATCCACGCTGCGCTGCGGCAGTCTACAACAATGAGAAACATCTCTTCTGGTATCCATAGGACATGTGATAAACAAAATAGGTCACACAAGTATGCAAAATACAGACGTTCAGATACCCAGAGTTCATACATTGTATAAAAATTAAATCAACTTACATGCTTGGTGCAACAGCACGGTTATGTATTCCGATAAACCCAAAGAGAAATAACAGTGAAGGCACACAAGCCGAAAAGACAAGATGATTTTGCAGTGATTCAACCAAAGTCACCTAGAAAATTCTGGAATTTACAAATCAAATATCCTTTAAAAACAAGTGCACAAACTGAAACAGAAATCAAATGCATTAAAGAGATGAAAGTAACACGCACAGTACGTATAGAGGGATCCTTCAGCCAGAAGTAGGCGCTCCATAATGTACATCCAAATGCGACTAGTAATGCTACTGAAATACATATAATTAATCAACAAAAACTTAGAAGAAATGAACATGGAATTTTCACCCATCATCGGATGTTTGTATCGAAGGTTTTGGTACTGTACTATTTGAATCCCTATTCGGCTCCTAAAAATGAGTGAAATATTATTCGATTAAAGAAAAAAGAGGAAAGTATTAAGACAAAAAGGACAACTGAGATAAAAAAGAAAACATTAATATGTACTGTCCGCAACAGTACGGAATTTAGGCTCAAGTTCTGAATACTCGTTCGCGGCAACACTGTCACAACTTGGTAGCACGTAAAGATATTTTAGAAAGCCTAAGTACAACTACATTTGATAATAGTGTTCCAAATCACCGGCAATCCGACTAATAGTTTAATCGGAATGATCTGATATCCCTCTTAACAAGCCTACGAACAACAGCATACGGCATTCAATTATCAATAGATCGTATCCCGGGTGATCTTCGAATTGTATTATTCGCAAGAAAGTGAGAATGTGAAGCAAACAATACTAGAATGTAATGCAAACGAACAAGCATTTGAGATTTTTACCTGACGAAAATAGGTAAAATAACTTACACCGCCACCTTGTTGCAGCTGGTTGCATACTTTGAATCACTTCTGTCAGACGTCTTTCAAAATAACGCATATCTGCAGTACACTCTATATATATAAAGAGAATTAAATTTTAGGACTTGACCAATAAAGACAAGTAAGCTAAAATGTCAAACAGCTAACAAATTGTTTACTGCCATCTTCTGGGCATCAAGGCAAATTTCTAAACCTCCTGTTTGATCAAATTCCACGGTCTGTCCTAATTCG